GGTTTCTTTGATTTGCTATTGGCTGTTTTTGGCTGCAGGCTAAACGCATCAGACGAACACCAGGGACTGTCAGAGAGACTCTTTTATCTGCCGTGTGTTTGTGTGATGGAGGATGATTGACAGCTCCCATCAGGACGCTGGCTGCTGCTGTCACATTAAATCTACACCTGTCTCTCCACTCACCTGATACAATAAATACTGAATGATGTAAAACAAAAAAATTAGGTCATCAGGAAAAAAATACGAGAGGAATAATAATTACTTAACTAATTACAGCTCGGGATGATTTTCCTGTTTTTAAAATAAGACCAGAAATTAACACCAGGAAATAAGACCACCAGTAACCTAACTGTAGCCCCCCCACCCCCCACGACCTGGTTGTGTTTCAGGGCTGGGTCCTGGAGGGGATCCCTCAGACCCGTCTTCAGGTTCTGCTCCTCCAACAAGTCGGGATCATCCCAGACCATGTTGGTGAGAACCTGACCCCCTCTGAGTTTTGACTTCCTGTCCTGGTTCTGCTCAGACCCTGACCCTGCAGGAACAACAGGGTCAGGGTCTGACCCTGACCCTGTTGTTCCTGCAGTGATGCTGGAGGCTCCTGAAGAGGTCCTGCTGCAGAGGGCCCAGGGGAGGCTCCTGGACTCCCTGACAGGAGGTGAGTCCGGCTCGGTCCACTTACAACACAACACAACCCACTCATTACATCACTTCCTGTCTGCAAATGTCTCCCATGAGACCTTCATCTGGCCATCTGATGATATCACAGCTCAACGTCTGGAGAGGGGGCGTGGCCTCTCAGAGGAGCAGCTATTGGCCGAGCTGCAGCGCTACCGCTGTGAGGTCACAGGTCTGAGGTCAGCCTATCAGCACGTCCTGGGGGTCATCAACGCAGACCAGCCTCACACTGACGTCTACCATCAAGGTACTGATGCTGGTTCTGATCCGACTTCCTGCTGGAAGCCTGTTCTCCTCAGATCCTCAGAACTTTAGAGACGCCCAAAGTCTGGAGCTGATCAACAAATCAAGATGGCCGCCACAGCATGAGAAAACACAACGAAAGGAAACTGCAGTGTTGTTTCTGTGTGCGTTGTGTGTGTTTATGTGTGTTTATGTCTATGTTTCTGTGTGTGTTTATGTCTATGTTTATGTGTGTGTTTATGTCTATGTTTGTGTGTGTTTATGTCTATGTTTATGTGTGTGTTTCTGTGTGTGTTTATGTGTGTGTTTATGTGTGTGTTTATGTGTGTGTTATGTGTATGTTTTTGTGTGTGTCCTCAGCTCTGGCATTGGTCCAAACTCGTCATTACTCCAGAACTCCCAGAATCCTCCTGCTGGGTCCACCTGGCTCCGGGAAGAGCCTTCAGGCCCGTCTGCTGTCTGAGAATTACAAGATGGTTAATGGTACACAACACACACACACACACACACACACACACACACACA